AGACAGACTGTGGCTACAGCTCCTTCCTCTCTTTTTCTGCTTCCTGCTTGCTTACAGTGAGAAGCTTTGCCCTGCCATGAATTCCTTACCATGACCATCTGCCTCCCCACAGGATCAAAGCAATGAGGACAAGTAATAATGTACAGAAACCATGAGCCGAAGTAAACCTTTCACCCATTTAAAGTTGATTATCTCAAGTATTTTGTCCTAGCAATGAAAAGCCAACCAACGCAAAACTATTGCACAGTTGAGTGACTATAGCTAATAATACATTGTAGAGTTTGGAATTTTTGAAGGACTATGTTTCAAAGATCTCATCACAAAAAAAATAATAAGTATGTGAGATGATAGATACATTAATTCATTGGATTTGCCCAAATCACATTGCATATGTTTGTCATAGCATCACTGTATACCATATAAATATATACAATTACAACTTATTGATAGAAATAAAGAATACTAAACATTTTTAATAAATATAAATAAATAAATAACACACTTAAGACAAAAACCCGAGCATTCCCATGGAGCTCACCTTCCGGTGAGAACATGTTCGTGGCTGCTCTCTTCTCCATTTATGCCCATCTCCACCCAGAAATCTCTCTGCCCTTCGTCCCTGCTGTGCCTCTGGGAAAGCTCAGCCATGGACATCCTTATCCACTGAGAGGAGAAAGAGGTTGAACTGTTTCTCTCCTTCTGCTTTCAAAGCCTCTCTCTTGTCATAGGGTCCTCCCTCCAAGCCCACAGCTTCTCCCATGTAGCTCTTCCTCCATGAACCCAACCCCCACTCAGCTCTTCTAATACTCTTTTCACTCCTTGACCTTGGAGCCATCAAAGTGGTGCTTGAAACCCACATTTGCTAGTGTCTGAGTATCTTGTGCTCCTCCTCTGTTCTCAAAACCCTGTCCATGCCTCTAAACTTACCCCATCAATACAGTCTCTTCACCACAACCATCTGGTATGAATTCTTTTCCCACTAGGATGATCTGAATCCTGACAAAGTAATGATAAGAAATCCTCTCAAAGGAAGACTGTGCCAAATCCTGTCCAAACCAAGTAATTACACCACAGGAGCTCACGAATCCCAAGTAGGTGTAGAGTGAGCTAGAACATGCTACAGACCAGGAACAGCACAAGGAAAGAGGAGAGCCCAGAGTCAGCAGGAAGGAGGTTAGAAAGCAGGCCCCCAAACCAGCTGGGAAATGGGGCACAAGTGCCCACCAGTCATCAGGACCATCAACAATGAGGAATTCTGATTCCCAAGAAGCTGGAAGGCTGATCTGGCCTCAGGAAAAAATGCCTCAGTGGGGGCACCCCCAGCCTTGATTCACTACAGATCAGGGGCTGCAAAACTAGCCCCCCAGCCTGCTGATGAGCCGGGAGATGGTAACTGTAATAGATTCTGCTGACTCTGGAAAGTGGCAGGGCCATAACCAGGGACCTGCTGACTCCTTTGTAACAGCTAGTTAAGAGTTGGAAGGGGAGCCAGGGAGGTAGCTCAGCAGTCTAAGCACCTGCCTGCCTGGCCAGCACAAGGACCCACATTTGATCTCTGGCACTGCGTGCCCATAATCCCAGCACTGGGGAGGCTGAGACAAAAAGATCACAAGGAGTTCAAACTGCATAACAAGACCCTACACCAAATAAATAAAAGATTTAAAAAAAAAAGACTTGAAAGGGGAGGAGACAGACATCTGTGACTCACAAGTGATCTGAGAACAGTGCCCTGGACCTGCGTGCATCCCTCAAAGAGACCAGCAAGGGACTCATCTTACAATAAATGCTGATAAACATTTGTTACTCAAAATATCACCAAACGAATGAAGATATGGCCAGTGTAGTCTAGCTTTACCACTTCATACCAACAGAACTTTGGATAAGTAACTTAACTTCTCTATACTGTCTCACTTTCCCTATCTGTAAAATGTTGATAAAAAAACAGAACCCAGTTCAGAGGATTATGGTGAGGATTCATTGTGTTAGCAATAAACCGCTGGATGTCTATGGCCATACTACCCTGAACCCGCCCAATCTCGTCTGATCCCGGAAGCTAAGCAGGGACTGGCCTGGGTAGTACTTGGATGGGAGTAATAAACCACTTGAAACACAGGCTGACCCATAAGAAGCATTTCATAATGTTAGTTAAATGGAACTTCTAGCTAATGTTTGACTCTCCCAATAGATCATTTGCTCTTTAAGCACAGGGATACTGACTGGCTCGATTGCTGCTGTATTCCCATCGCTTCCCCACAGTGTGGTAGAGAATAAATGCTGCATAAATAAATGTTCATTGAGTGAATGCATGAGTGAGTAATGGCCTCATTAGGAAAACTTCTACTCTGACACCAATAAGGAACGACTTACACCCAGCCAAGAGCCCAACAGAGAAACCAAGACAGAGTAGCTCTAGCAGTTCCTCCAGCAGGGTTGGTCTGTGGCTGTGGAAGAGGCCATTTTGAAGCAGCCCGCCACACTCCAAGTGACAGTGTTGAGTGGATACTTACTGAGCACCTAGCATTTACTATGCACTGCGAATATGGGACCTGGCCTACTGGATGCCAGGCCCTTCCTAAAGCCTGAGGGTTCAGAGACCAAAAAAGAGCCATTAAAGCCCTTGGTGGGCTTGTGCTCTACCTCAGGAACAAAGCAGAGGCAATGACCAGACAGTGGTGTGTGAAAAATGAGTAAACAGTGGGTATGGATCTGTAGTTTGGGAAGCACGCCTTCAGGTAGCATGATGGAGGACAACTGTATCTGGGGTGCACCCATAATGACAAGGGTGGCTTCCACAGCAAGGAGAAGGTGTTGGCTCTCCCACCATTCTGTCTGTCGCCAGGATCCATGTGGGGGTCACATGGCCACATTTCCCTATCCTTTCCCCAGCCCTTGGCTTTTTAAAGACCACTAAATATTCTGTTAGACACTCTTAATTCAAAAGGCCAAGTGGCAGAAGTGGCAAAAATCTGCCTTCACTTTCTCACCTAGACAGACATATTATTTTAATTATTTTCATGAAATAGAAGTTCACAGAAGTAAAGGAACTTGCGTGACTCATGAAGCTAATTGTGGCCAAGAGGACATGCTCTAAGTCAGGCAGCCACCTGGGGCTTGGGGAAATTGACTGTCTTCATTGGTTCCAATCAGTTCAGTGGCTGTACCAAGTGCCACCTGTAGGTAAAGACTGTACGGGACATGGACATTACAGAAATTAAAAACCTCTGTTTCTTCTCTCATAGGGCTTTGGGATGAGGCAGGACACCTCCTCTACCAGAGACAGCTCAGTCTGCTGTACCCACACGTGCACTCTCCTCCCTCCACACAAGACTAAGAAGCCAAAACCACCTGCACTTCATGTGCTTGCTATTCTGAATATTCATAGCCCTAGTTGTAATAATCTCAATATGAGTCAAATGCTCGGTAAAGATTTCCTTCCCACACAGACCTGCTCAATTCTCTTACCTCCAACAAAATGACTGTTATTTATGTTCTTTCCCTTTGAACTGTGCTAATAGAAAGCTTCAAGTTCTTTGCCCTAGAGCAGATTCTTAATGGCATTGTTACTCAGAGGTCTCCTGTTTCTCTACCTTGCTTCATATTCCACTATACACTTCGGCCTGGCCCTCAATCTGCACATTTTGTTTCATACTTATCATGCATGGCCTTGTGCTCCTGTAGCAAATGCCTGCCAATCCTGAGAAAAGAACCAGCCGTATATGAATATGACTCCCTATTTTAACAGTCTATAATACATTGAGCTTTACAAGATATTTGGGACACAATATATTCAGTTCTTTACAAAATCCTACTAGTTGGACCTGGGGCCGCGGGATCCTGAACAGACCCAGAGCGCAGGCCTGGAGAGTGAGTGAGAACACCGAGGGCCGCGGGTCCCTGAACAGACCCAGAGCGCAGGCCCATTGAGTGAGTAAGACGACCCAGGCTGCGGGATCCTGAACAGAACCAGAGCGCAGGCCCGGCGAGTGAGTGAGATGACCCAGGCTGCGGGATCCTGAACAGACCCAGAGCGCAGGCCCGGCGAGTGAGTGAGATGACCCAGGCTGCGGGATCCTGAACAGACCCAGAGCACAGGCCTGGCGAGTGAGTGAGACGAGCCAGGCCGCGGGATCCTGAACAGTCCCAGAGCGCAGGCCCAGCAAGTGAATGAGACAACCCAGGCCGCGGGATCCTGAATAGACCCAGAGCCCAGGCCCGGCGAGTGAGTGAGACAACCCAGGGCCTTCCGGATCCTGAACAGACCCAGAGTGCAGGCCCAGCACGGAACCCTTCAGCAGAACTCCCTACAAAGAGGCTAGAGGCAAGACCCACCCAGCTGATTCAGGAGCACAACATCTTGCCAGAGAGACACAAAGGGTTCAACTCTAAGGCTGCAGCAGAAAGAAGTGGAGCACAGCAGCCACATCCAAACAACACCCACCTGGAGGAATCCGAACTTCATAGATCCGGACCTGGTGCTAAGGTAATAACTCTATCTAAGCTCTACACCAAAGGTCAGAAGACAGGTATACAAAATGAC